TGATGAGCTAATCTTGCATCTGCCCACAGTCCTTGGGTTTTTATAAGGTGGTTTGGCCCAAGGACCATTTAGTGTAAATGTTGGGCCCATTAAGAGCCCATGGTGATGGACTCAGGGGTTCACTATCTCCTACAGTGAATTCGGCCAGGCCTTGGTAACAGAGGCTGGGTTGAACCCATGTGGCTGATGTGTAGATCAATGTTTGGGTTCCACACCATACAAGGATATCCAATTGGGCAGCAGCTTAGAGGATAAGTGAACACATGGACTTAATGGGCCTAAAGCCCAATTCGAACTGGCTTAATTAGATTAATTAAAGAAAAGCGGTTCTGGGATTTAGATAAGCAGATAGGATAAGGGGTTGTCCCTATCCACTCAAAGAGTCTAGATCCAAATAGAGATTTAGATCTGCAAACTCCTAATTAGATTAGGAGGGTTGATCTCTATCTGCAGATAAGATAAGGGATTATCCTTATCTCTTAAAGAGAGTCCAGATCCAAATACAACATTTGGATTAGGAAACTCCTAATGGGATTAGGAGAAGCTCTTTTTAAGGCTATAAATAGAGGAGAAGGGCGAACCCCAGTTGATCCTTCAAGATTACTGATACAAGAGAGAAGACAGCATACAGTTAGACTGACACCATCTTCTGCTCTTTCCTTCTTCTACTATTGTCGCCATTACTAGTTCGATCTCCACCTATAGGAGCGATCAAAAAGGGTTCTTGATATCACATTTTGGTAGAAAAGGTGATCTGAAGTYGTGCTCACTCACCCTCCATCAGATTCTTGGTGAAGAATCAGGTTCATGGTGAAGTCATCCTACTGATCCTGCTCCACCTTACGCTATGTCATCTTCAATGGGAGCAGTCTTTGGTAATCTCCTTGGGCGTGAACACCTTCGTTGGGAGTTACTGTTACTCCGTATCAGGTATTTCGCTCTCCTACCTTTTGGTTTCAGATCTGGTCTGGTTTAGGTTCAAGATTGTTCTTTGAAAATGCAGTTTTTCTAAAATAGGGAATGTGATTCCCACATGGGAGAGAGAGAATTTTTTGAAATTTTGCCCAACTTACCTGCGGGGTTCGGCCATCCATATGATGGATCTCTCATCCCTTCATGATGATTATGGTGCAGACTTATCTGCTGGAGTTGCATGCGGCACCACAGGGGTGGAGCAATCTCCCGAAATGACTAGCGTTGCTGGCCCATCCTACGAGATTCTTAATGGCTCGCCCTCCATTTCCGAAACTTACAAGCGTAAGTTTCCTCGGGCAATGAGAGAACGAAAACAAAGTAGCATGATGGTGTCACCCTTCCAAGCTCTTGGGTAGCAAGGGCAAGTAGCGAAAGAGTTTGCTATTGCTACAGGGTCCAAAAGAGAAGTGAATGCGAATGTGAAATGATAACTGTTGGTGTTGTCTTGGGGTTATTTGTGGGGTTGTTTTGGTTTGATTTGACTTTCTTATTAGTTTATTCAATGAACATTTGTTGCAGTCGATGGATGCACATGCATTGTGGAATTCTTTTAAGATGAAGGACTTGGTCCCAAAAGAGGACCTTGAAGTTATGAAATAGTTCTTGAAGAACCACAAGAAAGCGCAAGTGCACATGATTGTTTAGTAGATTGTGTCTATTTAAGTGATTTGCTTTAAACTAGAATTTGTTAGTATCATTATTTTTTTCATTGTGTTACGAGGTTGATTAATGATTATGGCAGTGATCAATTGGTATGGACTGGTGGTGTTATGTTTTTGACCCCAGATTGTCTATTGCCCCTCTTCGACCCGAAATCATGGGTGTACGATGAGGTATTATTTTGGTTTAGGGGAGTGTTGCATGTCATACAAGGCTAATTGTTAATGTGGCTAATTTGACGTGTGTGGTTGTGTAGGTCATTGATGCGTATGGGTTTTTGCTAAAGGCAAGAAACACCAACACCATGAGCATATGTTATGTGTCTTCGATGACATCGGTATGGGTTTTTGATTGCAATATGAGTGAAATCCATATGCTTGTGATTCATTTTGTGATATAATCCCAATGCTATTTGTTTGTAATGCAGTTGTATTTATCGGATGCCTGCAACGATGTTATCTATCAATGGTTGAAGCCCTACAAAATATTGACATGCAATAAGGTTTTAATACCTTTATCTGATGGCTCACACTGGCAGCTACTAGTGGTGAATATGGTGGATTGCAGAATCGAAACCTATAGTTCCTTAAACAGCAACCTCCATGACGCGTATGCAAGCTCCATGGTATGTATCATTAGTTGATTTTTACATTACTAATTGGGTATAAGATAATGAGTCTGATTACTTATGTGTTTGCTCAATTTTACATTATCTGGCAGGAAACAACTTTGAGAGAAAAATTGTCACCATTTGTTCTTGGGATCATCGGTTGGTCGTTTCAATTCATTGAGTCATCCCCCCAACAGATTGGGTACGTGTAGTAGGATCTATACTTAAGTGTAGGGGTACTTTTTAGGTAGTTATTGATTTAATAAGTGTATCTTTTTTGCGATCCAATGAGTACAAGTGAATTTCGTTTGTTAGCACATGCCTATATGTTTCATGTTAATACTGACATGTAGTACGTTTGCTGTACAAAAATATCAATGTTATTAAGTGGCAGATCGAGGTTCAACTCATTCAGAACCATATCCCATAAATTGAAGATCTTACGAGGATGATTGGAAACCAATTTATTTTTCGTTTCTCACCTTATGACTCTGAGCATATATTAACAATTGAAATTTTTGTATCAGAGCTAACGATCGGTCAGCTCTAACTACATAAGTTACAAATGAAAGGCGTAAAGTAATGCAAAAAGTAATTTTTTATAGATGTTGCCTTGAAACCTTATGATCAAATATTTGCTCAGAATGTAGTATCACAAAGCAATGTGAAGTAGAAATTAGGAGTGACCGGCCTCCAGGCGATTTGGCCAATTCCCAAAAACGGTCCTGGAGGGGGGCGCGGGGTTAGTCGAGCAGCGCAACCACCTCCATGGGGTGGGCGGAGGTCCCCTATAAGTACCCAGATGAGGCGGAGACACCCTGGGCCAATGGGGAAGGCTGACGATGGGAAACAATGCATTTGCAGAACCACCGTTTCCCATCATCGGGCCAATGGGCGATCGGAAGGTGTCGGGATGCTCGGTGGGTGAGTGGCAGTAGGGGGGAGTGGGTTTGGCGGCCATCACACCCCTTCACACCCGCCGGATCGGCCTCCAGGCGATTCGGCCAATTCCCAGAAACGGTCCCAAAGGGGGGCACATGGGTAGTCGGGCAACAAAACCACATGCATAGTGAAGGGAAAGGTCCCCTATAAGTAACCAGATGAGGCAAAGATGCCCCGAGCCAACGGGAAAGGCCGACGGTGGGAAATGGTGCTTTTGCAGAACTACCGTTTCCCACCATTGGCCTCGACCATCAAGCCAATGGGTGATTGGAAGGTGTTGGGATGTTCGGTGGGTGAGTGGCAGAAGGGGGGAGTGGGTTTGGTGGCCATCGCACCCCTTCGCACACGCCAGATCGGCCTCCGAGTGATTTGGCCAATTCCCAAAGACGGTCCCGGAGGTGGGACACGGGGGTAGTCGGGCGGTGGAACCACATGCATAGGGAGGGGAGAGGTCCCCTATAGGTATGTAGATGAGGCAGAGACACCCCGGGCCAACGGGGAAGGCCGGCGGTGGGAAACAGTGCTTTTGCAGAACCACTGTTTCCCACCGTCGGCCTGGGCCATTAGGCCAATGGGTGATCAAAAGGTGTCGGGATGCTAGGTGGGTGAGTGGTAATAGGGGGCAGTGGGTTTGGTGGCCATCGCACCCCTCCGCACCTGCTGAATCGACCTCCGGGCGAATCGACCAATTCCCAGAAACGGTCCTAGAGGTGGGGCGTGGGAGTAGTTGGGTGGTGGAACCACATGCACAAGGAGGGGAGAGGTCCTCTGTAAGTACCCATATGAGGCGGAGACGCCTTGGGTCAATGGGGAAGGTCGATGGTGGGAAATGATGCT